CAACTACTACTAAACTCTGACGATGGAAGCGAGAAGGTTTTCGAAACGTCAGATCAAATATAATTTGGTCCATGAATCCGCCCCCTCTTCTTCTTCCTTATCTTTGGGAGATGATGAACGCGATAATTATGTTTATTTATCTTAAAAACTTCTTGGCTGGCTTGACCAACCTCAACATCTTAACCAATTGTTTTGCATTTCCACCAAAAAGTTCTGAAATATCTCGATACGTCTTCTGAACATGCGTGCTATTATATTTCCATAGATTTAAATCAGGTTTAAAAAACTCGTTGATATTTTCCTTATTTTGCTGTCATGGAGGTCACGCTTTAACAAAAATCAAGCCTTGTTAATTTATGAACCTTTTCTTTGTTAGATCTGCATAGATACGTTCATCAAGTTCAATTCGAGTCACGGCAAAGATGCAGTCGCCGCTTCACGAACCACCCTTGTCCAAGTTCTTGAGGCATTCGTTTTAAAGAAAAGGGGACTTTCCCCTACGGAGGCACGTATTCCTTTCGCATTCAATTCCTTTCTTTCGTTTTATTAGTTTTCAAAATGCACAGGAGCATGCATTACCTGAGCGTTTCTCATATAAAAAACCGGAAATTTTCACTTTCACATGCAACTAACTCGTTCACCCATATCTGCTCTGTATATAAGCTCCATCTCAAATGTTTGTCCTTCATTATTACTAGTCAGCATCGGACGCTGATAGCACTTGATCCATTGGTGTAGCAGTCACTCAGACCCCACTTTGTGGGGCAAATATATAACGAATTAAGAATATACTCTTGTAAAAAAACGTAGCAACCAAAAATTGAGTCTTTTATATGCAAGGTCGAACTGATACTTAAAACATTAAAGTAAATTTCGTCTTCGATTACAGCGCATTCTACGCATGTGTGTCAAGGACTGAAGCCAAACACTTTCATAGTATCGGAGTCTTTAATACCTTCCAAACGTTTAGATATGCATCAGTCAGTTATTGAGTGACGAGGTGTTGCATACGCTGTTACGATTTCTGATAAATTCCTTCCTGCTTGACTCATTATACAGACTTCCACAGAAGTGAACGGTTTGCAGGTCTCACTCGAAAACGTCCGAAACCTTATACAGGATAACAGAGCTTATTGCCCAACTTAAAATTGTACCTTAAAAAACGTCGCCCGAGTCGAAGGATAAAAGCATGAGTCATCCAAGAGTGACAAAAGTTAACCACTGTCTGATCTGCAGTGGAGCTGTGCTTCATTCTTTAATTGTGATTAGCTTTAAGACTCGGATGTCCTCGCGGCCTGAATTGTATAAGGTAATTTTCTTCTGATAGCATATTCGGAAACCCACTATCATTTTCCCCTGTATTAGATGCCTCTTCAAGGGGTGCAGGGTACCCAACTCGTCATTGCCTCACCAGCACAGCTGGAATCGCCACTTCTCGAGTCCGAGCTTCAAATCCTGGGAGTCCTAAAATACCTGACTGACCAGCTTCTGCCGGAAAACATTACCGCTCACAATCGGGCGGCATTGCCCCTCTATCTGGAAGCCATTGGTACAGTTGTTGCAATTCTACCCATCTCAATAGTTGGCCGACGGGCTTTCTTAAATATCCTTTGGTAAGTGCATTATTTTTCTAACCTAGACGAAAATGCCCACTTTCTAACGGACGAACAATTTATGCGTTCCGCGTCCTACAGCAGTATTCAGAATAGGCATGCGCAATAGCACGTCTTAAAATTAATTAATCCTATTAGACGCCAGTAATTAAAAAAATAATGTATGTCCGGGCAAGAATTTCCATTAAAATCAGAAAGTTCATTTGACTAATATACATGCATTTTAAGTAACTTCTCACCCGAGCACTAAATTGTATGGAGTTCGGATTGAGCGAAAAATATGTCTTTATCATCATAAAGATGAAGTGTTTTAGTTATTAGGCAATTACAGACT